TGTACCACCGTGTCAAAAGGCTGTCCAACTACATGGCAGGACGATGACTGAGGTAAGGAAGCTTTTACTCGTTTCGATTGGTCTGCTGTTCTGTCGTTATGCTTGAATTTGTTTCCATTTTCAAGGAGCGTATCGTGTTTGTTCGATGTTGCTTGAATGAATGCCCTAAAATAATCAACCACTTCGTAATAGTCCTCAAGGACTGCAAGGACTTTGCATCAATCGTATATGATCGTCTAGCTATCATCAATTATTATTTTATTTCATGAGAAATGTATTTTTATCCCTGTGATAATTATGTGAACTCCACGACACTCTTCCTCTAGTATGATGTCAAATACAATGGGATCCACAAACGCAGTGCCAGTGTACTAGTAGTAGTAGGACTAGGAGGATTGCTTGTATGCCAATGACAAGAAAAAGCTTCTCAAGCTAATACTCGTATTCCCTGAAGTAACCGTTTTGATGTCACGAACATGACATTGTGTCAGTGAAACTGCCTCGTGACAACAAATCATTGCATTTCCATCTTGGGGGAGACTGACTGACAGCAACGCTGTACAGATTGTTCAAATCATCTCATTTCAATTTAGTTACAGTGAAGTGAAACACTGTGTACACTACATGTATGTTGGTGTATCTCTGCGTCTTGAGTGTGCACAAACGATCTTATTCCTAGTATTACTAATAGATTATTGTCCCCACCGTCACCTATTCACAGGTCTTTGAGTGGATTGATTTTCATTGAGCATCACATGTGTTGAGAACTTGGTAGTTGTGTGCTCCCATGCATCATTACGGTAATAAACGTATCCTTGTGCTATCTATTTGTTGCAGGTGTGCTCATCTTCAGAAGCTTGCGGAACTGAGTGCCGCTGAACATTTGCATGGCCATGAGCAATGGTGAAGCTTGCTATTGCACTCTCAGCATGTGCTAGTATTATGCTGACCACTGCACTATGTCACTCTCTTACACTACTACGTGTATGTAAACGTGCGTGTACCCGTCCCCGTATGCATTCGTTTCGTATAATTATTTGTTATCCCTCTTGACTTTACATGTAAATGGGTGGACGTGTGCATTGCTGTTGGAGTTGCGTGTGTATTATGTCTCTACTCTTTTCTTGGTGTTTTCTTGGCGTTGTATAAGTTTGTGTGTGTGTGTGTGTGTGTGTGTGTGTGTGTGCGCGTGTGTGTGTGTGCGCGCGCCCCCGCGCAATCATTTGAAAACAAATAATTAATCCTGGGCTCTCCATTATTCTCTTTCGATTCTTGGTTTTTTTCTAGGTATTTTCTTGGCATTGTGTGGGCGTGTGCATGTGTGTGTGCGTGCACAATAATTTGGCAACACTACATGCATATTTTTACATATTTTTTTATCTTGAGAAGTGAATGATGTAAAGGATTAAAGGGAGAGGCCGTTTTCTGGTTAATATTCACTGCTTACAGCAGATCCTATGTCTAATTTCGAACTCGATAGGGGATGCCTAATTGGCTGGACTTTATAGTGGGAGTGTTGTCCACATAAAGACTCTTTATAGTTGATTTCAAAGTTTGGACTCCGTACAGTTGATTTTGGACCAATGGACTCTATATAGGGGTGAAGCCAATTGGCTGGACTCTATACAGGGAGTGATGTCCATCGAAACTTTGAGCTCACAGTTGATTCCAAGTTTGGACTCTGTACAGTGGATTTTGGACCAATGGACTCTATATAGGGGTTGGACATCATATAGGGGCTGGACGCTCTACTGAGTCCAACATGTATACTTCAAATAGAAAGTATATGAACCCTGAAACCAACAAAGGTGGTAGGTACAACATTACACCTTCAAGCAGCCGAGCCCGTTGGCAACAGACCCAACACTATCCGGCATACGTGTACCCACCAACGAACTAGCTGGCACATTGATACACACACACACACGCACGCACGCACCATGTACCCTGTATACGCCCGTCACAAGAGAAGCAAAAGCACTGAATGTGCATCCACAGATTTTCTCTCTCTTATAGCAACTATAGCAGACCAAACAGATCAAGACTACAATGTCATGTAGGGCCAGATAACTGCCTAATCCACACAGCTGGCGAAGCCATGTTGGTTGGTTGGTTGGTATATTTTATTTTACTTCGCCAGAATGAACAGGCATTGCTGCCTTCTTGCCTGGACAAGTGGATTGTCCAAGCTCTCACAAAAAGACGAAGAAAGGAAAGAAATATTACATGAGAGTGTGAAGCATGCAATCTTATAAAATAAAAAAATAAAATAAAAATTTCCATGAGAGTGTGACGCATGCATGATGAGAGAGGAGAGATAGATATAGATAGAGAGAGAAAGAGAGAGAGAGAGAGAGAGAGAGAGAGAGAGAGAGAGAGAGAGAGAGAGAGAGAGAGAGAGAGAGACTGCTTTATTGCCTGGACAAGTGAACTGTCCAAGCTCTTACAAAATGACCAACAACAACAACAACAGCAACGGCAACAACAACAGC